ATATTTCTTTCTCACAATTTCAATAAATAAGTGGCTAGAAGCAGCAGGAGGAATTACTTCCTCCATGACAACTTGCTAAGAGGAAGACTGTGGCATGAGGTTCAAAATTTATTAGAGAATCCACATACAAAGAAACTATGAATATCCTAACCACAGAAAAAGTCTTTGTTGACTTTTATTCTATACCAAATACTAAAGAATACATGCAACAGCACCAATAACCATGGAATGGATTTCTGTGTGTCTTGTAAGTACCAATTTAAAGACAAAACCCCAACTGGAAGAAAAACCTTCAGAATATGTCTTACGTTTCTCTTGTTTCCTCCTTCCCTGGTACATTCACTGGCTTACCAATAATGGGTAGTATATATGCAGCCCTATTGAAATTCAAACAACACATAAGCCTTTTATGAGAAACATGTCTTTTGGAATCAGACTGTTAGATTTATGAAACTATTTGTTAGGTATTTTTTTTTTTATTAGGAAGTTTAGGAACACAGAATACTACAGCTGTCAGCTGCCAGACAATCCAAGAAGCAATTACTTGTTTTGCTATCTCTTGTGATCGCACTGCCTCATGAAATGGAGCACACAGTATCAATACTTAAATCTACTTTTGCTTTAGCATATTTGCAAAAGATTCTTTGCCAAAATCTTTGTTCCATTCCATCTTCTTAATAACCCTCAGAAACTCCTTGCATCTCTACAATGAGTAAGTAGTTAAGTATGTTGGTATCAGAGCCAGTTCCAGACCCACAGAGACAACTACTACCTTAACCCAAGACTACATGGGTGCTGGTGACACCCAACTGAAATGGTGTATAATGTCAAAATTGGTCTTTGACAGCTGCCTTCATCAGTACATTCAAACTTGCTGTGATAGTGCTAGTTATGCATTGCTTTTAAGTCTTGTTTGTATGAGGGATATTTGGCTGCATTAATGAACAAGCATGAAATGCCACAAGTCTATTAAACTTGAGTATCAGTCAGGGTGAACCATAATCATCCAAGTGCACAGGTAATTCCAAGTGACACAATGTCTTCTGTTAATCCAGTGTAAATTCAAGTTTGTGCTTTTAACAACATGGGGCTATGACTCATCATCTTTCTGATTTTGGGTCAAATGAAGGTATGACAAGTCTTTCTAACAGGGAGTGCAGACTTGCAATGTGCTTGGTCACAGAAAAATTGGAGTTTGACATTTCCAATATTTATTTACTGAAATTAAATATGCCTTGTAAGATCTACAGAGAGTCTAAAATTATGCAGATAATTGAGCTAGCATTACTTGTGAAAAATAGGAAAGTACTGGAGGCAGGGGGAAGAACCACTTACCTTTCCCAAAACACTACAATAGGGAAACAAGAATTGTTCTACTTCCCTGGAACGGATAATAGTCAAGATAGCTGCACAAGACCATGAGGATCAGTACAGTGAAATGAAGCATCAGATACAGCAAATACAGCCAGTACTCCTTGCCTCAGTAAGAAGAGCAATAAAGATGTTTGGGCTGACCCTCTTCTTCATCCACACAAGTGTGAAACTTTAAAAAGAGCTTGGAAATTCTGGGCTTCCTGATGGCAGCCACAAGACACAGGCCAAAAAAAGACTACATGTTTGAGCAACAGGTATGTATTTGAACAATTTTTCTTTTAAATAAACATATCATCATATAAGGTAAAGCTAATTCAACAAAGGTAACCCATGTACCAGGTGTCAAAGGGAAATTCCAACTGTACTGTATTATCTGATGTTGACAGCTGAACCTAAATAAAGAACATTACACACAAGCACCTTTACAGTTTTACAGGCTGTGTAAAAGTAAGCGAAGAACTTTCAAGAGAAAATTTTTATTTTAGCCAATAAAACTAACTTCCAAGAGCTTTTGAAAGCTCAGCTGCTTCTAACTTTGGCCATTTAATTTCTTCCAAGAGACACTAAAAATCAAATATAGGCTTTCTCAAAAAAGAAAACTTTCTTTCCCTTGAACTAACTAGCACAGGCATACATTCCCAAGCCAAACAGAAAAGAACACAACCTTAGTGTATTGAAAGTTGACAAAATAATTTATCCAAGTTTTCAGAAGTCACTATGAGGTCTGAAGAGACTTCATGTCTGGTGTGTTTTGTTGTTTGCTTTTTTTCCCCTGAAACTGCATGAATTGGTTACTGCAACATTAGAAGAGTGCTTTTGTACATCAGAATTGTATTCTTCCATGTTAATCCAGAAGATCTAGAAATTCCATAAAGACATACTATTTCTGGTCATATAGATGTAAAATTCCTAACAGAATATAATCCTACAAATAAATTACTATACATACACTTCATCTTGACGGCAGAGTAATGCAATTAGGTAGCTGTAGGGTAGGACAGGAAAAACGTGTCTGGAAATCAGAAGAGGTCCATTAGGGAATAACACAATTCATTATCTTTTTCCTATTTTCCTCACTTTGGTTTATTTTCTGTTCCACAAAATAATGTATTGCGTATTTATATAATTAAATATTATAATACTCAAATTATTGAAAGTGTTATCATAGTTCTGCTTTTTAAATTAGAATTAATCAAACAGACTGTGACATGTCTGAGTCGCAGTTCAGTATAACAGGATCCACGTGGACATGAACACTGTAATCCTAATGACTATTAGTTCTGGTTCACTAACATCAAATACAGCACTTGGGTTGGACAATGCATCACAAAAAAAGTTCAGTTAAAATGTGCGTTCACACTTTAAATTTTTGTACACAGCATTATAGCAATGAAAGACTGATTTATTCCTGAATGAGAATATCCATGTAACATTATGCTATTTCACAAGTTTCTAGACTGAAATAAAAATATTACAGGGCATTTTTGACAAAACTCTGATAAGGTGACATGAACTTCCCTATACAGTTAGTCCCAACTAATGTTGACATGAGTGTAAGCATTAGAATATATACCTTAGCATATATGGCAGAATGTTTACCACAGGAAAATCAGATTTACTCTCTCCATTTTCTCTTAAGTATATTAATGAAAAGTGCAGTGTCATCCCAAGAAGACTCAAGAAGCGATATATTTGCTAACTGTCAAGTTGGTAGTGTATTCTGCTCTAATGCAACTGGGCTGTCAGGTCATCAAGCAGAACGTATAAAGATCCATTGTAAAAATCAAAGAAAGCAAAAGTTACAAGTTGTTACAATAGCATTCCACGTGTCTTTTAGCAAATTGGATCAAACACAGAAACAGCACTTGCTGCTATGACTCAAAAGTCAGAAATTCTATTAACAGACTGCACTAACAACATCCTCTGAATCTCTTATTATTCCAAAAGCATTATGTTTTAATCCTGAGCAGGCAGAACTTCTTGAATTTTTCCTCTCAAGCATTCTGTTTGTACTCATATTGCTTGTGCAAAAGTGTTCTTCACAGGACAAGGAAAGTTATCAGTTACAAGTATAAATATATTTAATATGAAGGCTTTGGTCCCTCAAGAAAATAAAACATCTCTTGCAAATCGTGTTTAGCAACTGCTCTTGAGAAGGAAGACACAGTATAAAACCATGGTATACCATGGTGTATAGCACCTTATTTTTTTTTATGGCAGCAGCCCTGGCTGCTTGCATTCTCTAGAAGTATGCAAATCAAAAAAGCAAATTAGGTTAAGAAGCCAGTTCATGTAAGCAGGTACATCTCAGACATCAGTGACAGAGGAATACTAAACACACTGAGGCCCTTTCTTCATTCAAAGTGAATGGGGTACAGAGAAGAAAGACTTATTTTCAAGTGAGAAGAAAGCTTGATCCAGTGTGCCGCAAGCAGAAGGCATACAAAAACAACTCTACATACCTAGCCTCACATAATTAGAAGTGTCCTTCCCTCACAGGATTTGAGAACAAGACATATTATGGTGATGGACACAGCAAGACTATAAAGCCTAATTCAGAAGCTGTCAGTCAGTTATCTTTTCTCAACCTTTAACTGTCACCCAAGCAACCTAAAACTCTCTCATCTTTGTGCCTTTAACTGATCCACTGCATTACATTAAATATTTCTTGTTAGCTGGAAATTTTTTCCCATTTTATAGACCTCAATATCAGAACAAAAAATAACATTTACAAAATTAATTACTTCTTTGTAAGCAATGAAATATCAGTAAAGATAACAGATTCCCAACAGAAACGCTAGCTATGAGAGTATAATTCTTTCTCAAGAGTCATGGATATTATAACCAGGAAGTCAGACAAGAATAATAAACAAGGATGATTTGCCGTTAACTCAGTGTACTTTGGGTTCCACTGAGTCTTCAGAAAACAGCTCACACGTAGCTCTAGGTTGGAGACAGCTGGCACACCACTCTAATTTTTCTCAGCACTCCACCCATATAAGCACTGAATCCAAATCAAAACCAAGTTTGAACAGTTTGATTTCTTGGTTAAAACTGCTCTGTTAGAACAATGCAAAGGGTCATTTCAAAGCAATTCAGTGACTTTTAAAAGTTTCCTCCATGGAAGTAGGACATGCAATGCTATACCTTCTAAACATTCAGAGGTAAGACCTAGCCCTTAAAAATTATTTTAAAAAACTACACAGATGTCAAAAGCAAGACTGAAAATCCAAATCACCAGATCCCACAGAAAGAGGAGTATAGAAGGACACGTTAAACAGTCATGAGTATTTAACAGCCCATATACTGACTGATCTTATTGCAAAAGGAAAATTATTTCGAAGCCTGAGCTATTCAGTAAGTCAAAAAAAAAGAAATTCTAAGAATTCCTGAAATCTATGCATCAGATTCACTCCTCCGCCTCCCCACCCCACACATTTCACAGCACTTTTCATCTAGCTTCTTCCATCAAGTCCTAAATTGAGTACTAGGGAGAAAATTCAACCTCTGTTAGAATGCAGAGTTATAATAAACAGCTGCACCTAATCACTAGGCATTTAGAGGACTAGAAAAACACGTATTAATTATTATGCAACAAACATATAACTTAAGGTTTTACAAGGTACCTGGCATGGTGTTTGCTGCTCTTCCCATTTTGTGGAGGGTACTCTTCTATAACATCCTGTACAAAAGGTGGTTGCTGCCAGTGTGTTCTGGTGTATGGCAATGTTCCCATGTGGCTAAACATATCACAAGACCTAGTGGGAACTGACCCCTTCTTCTTCCTGGGGAGAGTGCCATGGATAGAGATGTCTTGAAAGGAGTTTGAGCGATGCTCAGTTGGTGAAGGTTTAGTGGTCAAAAGGTCCATGGAAGAAGCTAATGAGAACTGGTGGTTCACTGGGCCATTTCTGGGAAGACTTGAAAATTTTCCTGCAGCTATCATTTTTGGATCTGGAAAAACAAAACCAAGATTTATTATAGCGCATCAATTAACGGAAGTTAAATAGCATGACTAACAAAGGCACCTAGAACTGAACTTCTGCTTTGCTTTGGGGCAGTCAGATACCTCAAGATGTAGCCTGCATTACAATCCAGTCATGTTGTTCCCAACTGCTTGTCAAGCACACATGAATATTAACTTTTATACATGGGAAGAGTCACAACAGAAAACAATCAATCTGGACACACATGGAAAAGCAGGCTCTGAGCAATCCCCCATTTTTATCCATAAAGTTCCTCTTTTTTGCTCCCTCACATCCTCCAAAGACTTAGACATCAGCTTTAGAACCATTAACAAAAAGCAAAGTTTTATGAACATTTTGATAAAAAATAAAGGACATTCTACAGCTTCATTTGGAAGAACATGTTTCTAAAAGCAATAGTTGGCACACTGTGAGGGGAAAACTGTTTCTGAAAAGTCTTACTCAAGTGATAAATCCATCAGAGAGCTGGTCACATATTTCTAACAGGCTGTAAACTAAAGAGCTCTACCCAAGAGATAAGGGCAGGAGCAGATTACTGGAATTCTCTTCTTCAGCATGCACAGCCTACTGGCTCAAATTGTTGTTGACATTGGGGATTTGCATAGCTGTCAGTCTCCTGTACAATCAATTATAGCCTGCCATACAGTACAGGTTTTTCTGTTATGAGCAAAAAGCTTTATGAGACAAACACTTCAGGCACATTAGCAGATTGCTGTTCTATTCTTCAAAAAATGCTGCCTTGTGCTCAACTTTATAGTGTTATATTACAGAATACAGGGTGCCTTATCCTATCCAGTTATATTAACCTGCAAAAGCCACTCTATGGAACATACACACAGATCTAAAGGTCAATCAGTCCTACATTATTTAACACAGGTGGTAGTCAACCAGGTGCTTCCTATAAAAAGTGGAGAAGTGACAGGAGCAGCAGAGATTGATATGAAATCAGAAAGCAGAAGAGCTTTTGGAAATAACAGTTATTGACAGGGAGAATCTGTTCTGACCTTGGCCAGGTTTCATGCTGAAAAATAAGAGTAGCACACTCAAGGCCCAGCAGGCTTGAAGTCAGCTGCTTACAGCTGCACAAGAATTACTAGGGTTCAGGGGAACGCACAGGTGTTGCAAGGAAAATAGAGCTGCCTCTATAGTCCTGCTGCTCCTTCTCCAGCCTCAGCATCACAGGTACTATCAAAGTGTTGCTGCACTGAAGCTACTGTTACTTCTACACAGGGGTTATCGTAACAGGCTTAGTTTTACGGTAACACTAAAGCTGATCTCAAATTTATGAAAAAATTCTGCTATTTCCTGTCAGCTGCATTGCAGAGATTCACAGGCTGAATAAGGTTTCCAGACTTCAACAACAAATCCTTTCCCATTTCTCCCTTACTAAAGACCATCAGTAAATACTCATTAATTACAGATGATAAATAATATTTAGATATTTGATTTTTTTTTTTTAATCTTCAATTTGCCATGGTTCTGTCTGATGACAGCTACTATGTACTAAAGTAGAATAGCTTCTGGAAATAACCCTTCTGCCCAGAAAGAATCTGTTTGACTTTGGTCAGGTTTCTTGTTGAAAAGAGCAGGAAATAGTTGAGAAGTTAGTTAGAACTGACATTTTTAGTCACAGAGATCCAAATAGAATTTGAAATCCTAAAGAAACCAAACCACATTCTCACAAAAAATCTGCCATAAAATTATCATACAGGCCCTTGATGTGAAATACTAAATCACCTCTCCATTTATCATATGGTTTGACAAATTTTCTGCTCACTAGTATTAAAAGTAACACATTATTTCCAAAATTATAAAAAACTGTTGCAAAGTTGGTTTTGCATTACAACTGTTCTAAACAAAACAAGTGGACCAGAGATAGGAATATCTAAATTGCAAACGCTTACCATAAAGATACAACCTCCTATAGCTAAAGCAAAGTGACGGAGCTTATTTCCAGTAAATTGAGCTTTAGAGAAAAATTATAAAAATCACCTCAAACAAGGGGGGAAGGGGAATCTTAGAAATCACACAATCATTTGAAAACTCAACTTTATGTCTTTATTGTACTAAGGCAACAAATACCATTTGAAGAGTCTGAAAAACTGGAGGCTAGCTTGTTATTCTCCTTTTGAGGGCTGCTGAGATTCTGTACTTAACAATCATACTTCCTTTTTGGTTTATGAAAAACACCTCCAAACCTCTGAATTCTGACTATTTAAGTGCAGTTTATCCAGTCAGAGAGATTTTCCTTAGGCTTTCCTGCAAGATTACCACCACTAGGCTGAAATGGAACATACGACATTTCATGTAAATGGGTATCAAAACCATGTAGGTGTAAATATAACCAATTAAAGCTTCGGTTTAACAGTTGGTACTAAGTGAATCCACAATAGGTTTACAATGACAGTAACTGTCAACCACTTCGTGTATGAGGATCCATGAAAGAAAGCTGGTAATTCCCTCTCCTAACCAAATCACATGATAATTATAGCAATCCAGTAGGCTCCCAATCCAACAGTCTAAGAATTTTCAACAGTCAAACAACGACCCTCTGAAATATAGCATTTTCTATTTAATCTCTCATCCTAAGAAGCCCTTCTTAAGAAAGAAAACCAAACTCCCTCAGTTACATCCTAATCATTGCACCTTCTAAGCCACTCTCAGCAACATCCCATGATTTACAAATTCAATACCCAATCCTCAAATTCATATCTCAGTTTTGTCTTGAGGAATCAAGTTAGAGTTCCAAAGTTAGTACACAATACCTACATTCAAGAACTTGCAAGACACGTAGCCACAATTATGTGTGTACAGAAACTCTGATAATATTTCAAGCAATACTCCCTGCAAAAACCCTCCAAAAAAAAACCCAAAAGAAATCCAAAACCCCAAAACAATGGGTCTGCTAACTTCTACCCATTAATTTATCTACTTGCCTATGTGCTGCTGTACATTTACATAAATGTAAACCAAGAACTACAATGATTAGCTCAGTAACAAAAGTCCTGCCAAACTACCCATATATTTTTCTCATATTGGATGTAAACACAACAAGGAGAGATCCTCTTCAACTGAAGACCCTGGAATGTTTCAAATACTTTAGCATATGATTCAAATAATGTTTGACTTTACCAGATACAGAAATCCTGAAAACTTTACTCCCTAAGAGACTGTGCTTTGAACATCTGCCATCACACAATCAACAATGAAAATGGTAGAAATTACAGCAGACCGATAGCCCAAAGGGAACTGAAATCTAATTGTACACATTCCTATTTGTCAAAATGCAGTATCTAACAAAACGGAACACTCTGGAAGTCATCCAAGTTTCCCCTAACTAAATGCAAACAAGATTGACTCATGCCAATACAATGTTAAAAATGCTAGATGAATTTGTATTCATATATAGAGTAGAATTTTGCTTTCTTCAGTCCATAATTTGGGAAAGTATACAGAAATGGAATTGGCAGGAGTCAGACTGTGAATTCAGAGAACTGGAGGACATGAAAGGTTTCCAGGTAACTTCTGGAATGTTCTAGTTGGTTATGAATGAGGCTGAAGGAACACAAATGAAGAAGTCTTTAAAATCCACATCGCATTTAGGAAAGAAGTATGAGATTGGACATAGAATAAAACACATATCTGGTGGACAAGATCAAACATGCACCAAGCTCTAATCTGATGGGGTGTATACCTCTTCACATCATTGCTCAAAACAAAAAAAAAAGAACCATGAGCAATGAAACAACCTTCACTTCCCCAAAACAACATAAAAATATCCTTCTACTCATGCCCTCTTGGCTTTGAGATGCAAATACAAACTTTCTGGCACGGCTTGTATTCGTGAAAATTTTCTGATGTTCACACAGTCTCAATAAGTGTTTTGATGGTTCATTCAACCTGGTAGAGGTACAAGAATAAGTGCCCCTTCCATACCACAACATAACACAACTAGTGTCAATGGCTGCTGCTTTGATGTTTTAATACATGGGAGGAGGGGGAAGTGAGGGAAAAGGAAATCTCCGGTTCAGCCTCAGAGATTCATGAATGGCATAACAGAGTCCAAGGCTCTATATGATCATGCTAATGGAAACCTCACAAAAGGAAATAAAAAAGCAATTTCAGAGTTTCAAATCAGACTCTCAAGCTATAGCAAAACTCTGAGTTACATTTAAACCAGTTTTGGACATTAAAAGCTTCATATTTCTCTCAGTCTTACTGATCTTCAGTGCAGGCGATTCTCCCTGTTAGATCAAAGTCTCTGAAGTCTATACCTGGTGTTATCATATCACCAATGCTACAATACTTTACTCAAAGTCTTACCATGTCTTTATCGCTATATATACTATGAAGTTAAGAGGGCTTGAAAATGGTTTAATACATCCAACTGAAGAACAACTGCCTTATGGTCTCAGATATTTACAAGATGATGTCAACTTCTGTGAAAACCCTACGTACTTTTGACATGGCAAACCTCCTTACAACCTCCTCCCACCTATCTGCCCTCCCTCCCTCAAAACCAGTAACAACCAATTACAATGAGTGAGAGATATATTACTCTTTTCTCCCTGCTAAGTTACTTCGCACATTTGCATTCACTATACAGAAGCACATGGGAAATAATGAAAGTGATCAACCTTAATGAAGAAAGTCAAGTTCACGACAAAAAACAGATCAATTTCCTCAGATTTCGTTTTTGTGGAGTAAGAAAATAAATTAGGGAAATAGAAGAAGCATGACTGAAAAACCACTAAAGTTAACATATCATAGGAAGAAATAGTTAAAACTATAGGCCCTATAAACTCAAAGTGGATTTCATGTTAACTGTCTCATTAGAAGCAATGTAGTTGACTTCATTAGTATAACAAGAGTATTCCTGCTCCCAAAATGCCTCAGAAGCAGCTTTCTACAACCTGTGTTTTCTTTTTAAAAAAACAAACAAACAAAAAAAACCAAGATAAACTGATG